TTCTTACCCATATCAAGCAAATCTGCATGAAGCAGTTATGTATGTGGCTACTGCTACCACACTGATCTGTAAATGTGAATAATAACCAACTGACTCCACTAAACATCTGTGGAGCTGAACTGACCCCCTTGCTCATTATGAACCATACGATATCATGCTAATTTCACATCTTAATTGTATTATTGAAAATTTCAGAATATTTTTTTAGCTTTAAGAATACAAGGCCAGCTGAGACCGACTACTAAGTGATCTAATCTCTGATTTTACTCGTGTTCTGTTCAACCTGAGGATTTTGTTGAATTCAAACAGTAGTTCTTAAAGCATGAACAAATTATAACTTGCAATACCTCAGTCCATGGAACCAGATAGCCTCAGATGTGTGTCTGGGTCACTTTATGTAAAAGCTTTGTGCTAAATCTTGAAAAATTTGAAGTATCAAAACTGTGCCAAAATAAGAACAATTCCCCTAAAGATTTCATTAATTTAAGAGACTCAACCCTAATGGGTAAAAGGGAGGGAATGACAGAGGCCAAACTGTCAGAAATACCATAGATTCACCAGTAGCAGTGTATGGGTTAACTAGTATGTGTCAAATGATCATAGCAGACTGTAGCTTCAAATTGCAGAAGACAGCATAAAATGATTCTGCCAGTGAAACCTGGGAAGTAATTCTTTTCTGGGCCGGTTCTGGCATTAGAACTGGGCATTTGATCAAAAGGTATCCTAAAGAAATCTTTTCATAGAATTATAGAATGGTTTGGGTGGTAAAGGACCTTAAAGATCATCTAGTTTCAACCCCCCTGCCATGAGCAGCGACACCTTCCACTAGATCAGATTGCTCAAAGCCCCATCCAACCTGTCCTTGAACACCTCCAGGGATGAGACATCCACAGCTTCTCTGGACAACCTGTTCCAGTGCCTCACCACCCTCAGAGTGAAGAGTTTCTTCCTTAGATCTAATCTCAATCTTTCTGTTTAAAGTCATTGCCTGTTGTCCTATCACTACATGTCCTTGTCAAAAGTCCCTCTCCAGCTTTCTTGTAGGCCTCCTTTAGGTACTGGAAGGCTGCTAGAAGGTCTCTCCGGAGCCTTCTCTTCTCCAGGCTGAAAAAACCCAACTGTCTCAGCCTGTCTTCATAGGAAAGATAGGATGAAATATAGCTGAAAATAATAGCTATTATCCGTATTGAAGAACTTGAAAATAGTACATGAAATACCAAAATGTTTTAGAACTGGAGCTATTAATATTTATTTGTTATAAAATTCTAAAAATATGCAACAGAATTATTCCTTCTTTAAGAGTGAGGAATATGTATATTTTTTTAAAAAAAGGAATATGGGAATTAAATTGATTAAACGTATGTTTGTCTTACTACATGTTAAATGAAAGTCTTATTAATATTTTATAGACGCTGATCTGTCATAGAAATGCTTCTCTGATTCTGTTACAAAAACTTTAAGAAAAACTCTGAGATGAAACTTTGAAACCTGGTTAGAATTTTTTCAGTTAAGAGGAAAACAATATCAAATGTATGTAATGAAACCTGACTGTTTTATAGCAGGTATGAATTTTATCAGATCCTCTTGTGGTTCAGTGCATTATCTAACTTAATAAAAATTCATGAAATGGGTATCAGTACAAATCTGAGTAGAATTAAACAAGATGGTAAAATTGATACTTTTGTATAACATTATACTGATGTTTGGCAGTGCTTTAGGCAAACATCCTTATACCTTGTGCCCCTGAAATGCAGGGATCTTTAGCTCCAATTCTTCATGGTTTCAACCATCATAATGTGCAAGCAGCACATCACAGCAAATTTGGAGGAAAGCTTCTCTACAAGTACACTAAAGGAAAAAAAGTTTGATATTACTCTTCTTAAGATGGAAATGCAGTCATGTATACTGAGTGACCACAATAGATCTCCTAGTCAAATTTGGATAAGAGTTAGTGATTCATCTGAGCGTCAGCTACTCCATTATATTTAAAATGAAGTGTAAGCAACTGGATCAAGTTGGTGGGTGGATGGGTTTAATTTTCAAACTCCTTTACAAGAACAGTAGTGTGAATTCTGCTACAGGACTTCAACAGTAATTTCTGCACGAATTGTATGGCTGCTCTATTTGCATATCTATGTTCATAAGGCATGAAAAAGAAGTTGTTATAAAATACTGGATCTGCCTGGTCCAAAATTAGACAACCTTAGCATTTGAGTCCTGTAGGTACCACTCTCCAGTGCTATTCTGGCATAGTGAGAGTCAAACAATTTCTATTTGTAATGTTCTTTTAGTAGCAAAAGATTCTAAAATAAAATTCCAGAAGTGAAAAATTGTTTTAATATAGACTAGTGGCAATCCATGTTCTCTCAATGAGGCAGCATTTTACATTGAGCTTTTATAACATGTCAGATGGTTTTATATCAGGTTGATTTACTCAGTTAAGATGAACCTGGTAAGATACTTTTTCTCTTGCTCTGCTTTACAGTGGTCTCTTTTACTGTAAGTCTCTATGTTTTCTGTTCTCAGTATACTAAAAACATTGTTGAAAAGTGTCATTTCCAAAGCCTTCTTAATTCAGAAGTAATGGCATAGAAGAGAAAAAAACAAACAAACAAACACAAAACAAACCTATGATAAAAAACACAGAAAACATGGGAACAGGTGAAAAATCAATGTCCTTGATAAATGGGAAAACTCGAGAAAGGGTAAAAATTCCTAACAACCAAAACCTAATAAAATTTTGCTCATTTGAAGACATCCGCATAAATGTTTACTTATTCTATTTTCAGTGTACATGTTCTATATAGACATAAGGGTTTGATTTATATTTTTTTTATTTTCAAATTAATAATGGGGGAAAAAAAATCTTTTCATACTCATTTTCACATTTGACTGTCTAGGTTGTACAAAAACTTGCAAATGGGACAAAGCTCACCTATTACTCTTTTTTATGGCTTTAGTGGTAGCAATGCTTTGTGTCATATTCTGAAAAATCTGTCCTTTGATTTTGTTTTCTGAGAGGAGTCTGTTCATACATGCTGGTCTTTGCAGACGTTTCTCACACACTGAATGAAAAATGCAGGATCAAAGGTATATGAGAAATTAAGCATTCATTCTCATGTGTTTATAGCAGGAAAAAAAGTTCTCACGTCCCAGAAACTGCCTACAAAACCAAGAATAGATGAATCTAGTACTCCTACTAGTAATCCTACTACTACTCACTTTTTAGTTCTAGCTTGATTTGCATTAAAACCAAGTTACAATACTAGTACTGTTAGTGTTCATTATGTTTTAATCATGAAGAGACAAAAGTTGAGGTGTGCTTAATTTTTAGAACTTCATAGCTTTCTTTTTTTCTAGGAATGTGCTTTCCAAGAATGAATTGGAACAGGTTTACATAGCACAAAAGAAACTAGCTGTGAGGAAAGGAAATGTCTGCATCCAAAGAGAAAACAAATCCCTTGAATAGACTGAAACTATGAAATACTTACATTCTGTGTTTATTTCCATTTGCAAGGCAGACATCATCTTCCTATACTTTCACCCTGCTGGTGGGCAAGAGGCTGTCTTTTGCTTGTAGGTGCTTCCATTTGACATTTCTACCTCCCCTTCCCTAGAGACTGTAAGAAACATCTGTTTAGGAAGCAAACACTTCCCAAACATCTGTGTGATCTATGCTGTATATGGTGCAGAGCCAGCTCCCAGCAGATGCTGCTGCCACTTCCCTACAAAAGCAGTGTGTGGAAGAGGCAGCTGAAGATGTATCTTCTTGTGCATCATCCAGCAAACAGAAAGGAGTCAGTGCTGCCAGTCCTGTCATAGATGAAGGCAGAGGACTCAAGTAATGCAGTTCCATCCTTGTAACACTTAATAATAGACTACTTAGATTACAAATAACAGTTGACAAGTCTATTACATACTGGACTAGCATCTAGAAACCTGCCTCTCCTAATTTGGATATTAAAGAAAGTCCAATGGCTTTCAGGCTGCCAAGACCATCACCCTGCAGTTGCTATTTTTTAATGAGAAAAGAGTTGATCATAATCTGAATGTCTTCCTAATACTTAGGATCACTTCTTTCTCTTTTATGAGATGGTCTTCAACATGAGGCGTTACAATTTGCTAGGCAGCAGACTAATTATCTTGCTGTTAAATACCAGCCTTGGTGGTTGGCTGCGTTCTTTTCTGACATTGTAAAGGTTATACAAGTAGTTTCCACTAATGTTAGTAGAAACTGGGTGCATAGCTCAAGGGCAGATTATAGTCTTTTTCTTGTAGGACATGAAAATAATTGAGACTGTTGTCAAGACCTGAGTTTTTCTTTAAGCGTTAATGTGTTTTGGCAAGACATGTCAAAAGCGTGTCTCATATTGAAAGACACTCATCCTAGAATGTTAGATAGGAACATACAGAATGCACAAGCCACCAAGCAATTCATATCACTACTGTGACATCCATGCTAGCCCAAAAGCCTTTTTTTTTCAAGTTAGTTCAGCACTTTTCTATTGATAAAGAAATTATTATCCTTGAGGATGACATTTGTTCTCTGTGCTGGACAGTTATCACTAAAAGAAAGTTTCAATTACACCTTGTAAATAAAGTAATTCATGATTTTATATCTCAAAAGAAACATTAAAAAGTTTTATGCACAGCAATCACACCCTAATTTTTCATTAAGAAAAATACTAATGTTTGGGACTGTTTAGAGAAATGTGGGTAGTTGTTATTTTTAATTCAAGCTCCATTTGAAATCAGCAAGTTTTAAATGTTGTAAACGTTCTTTTCTTCTCCTTACAAAGAACAACTTCATGCATCAATTAGTTTAACTCTTATGTATGTGAATATCTTAACATTTTATTTTATTTTTTTCTGTATTAGACTCCTCATCTGTTTTTTGCCATGCATAAGAAAAGAAAAATAGTGTTATGGTGGATTCCTGGTGTTATCACCAGGAATCAAGAAATCACTGTCTCTGATTCTGTTCATTCTTTGTCAAGCAGATATTATTTTAAATTTCCGAACAACGTATGTCAGCAAGTCTGGCCAAGTTATATTTGAAGCAAGATCTATTTGTATCCACTACGTGACTACCTGGTTTATCATTGATTTAATTGCTGCACTTCCTTTTGATCTTCTTTATGCTTTCAACGTCACTGTGGTAAGTACTAACCTGTCTTTTTAATTTTTTTTTTTTCTAGAGGCGTTTGTTGAAGGTTGTTTTCTTTTCAGATCTGGAGACTAAAATTGAATGAACTACAATAATGTGTTTTTTAAGCTTTGTAGCATATTTTCACAGTGGATGAAGAAGGAAGGAGTACTATGTAGTTGTACATGTTGATTAAAAGTATTACAAGATTGGGTGTCAAAGTGGCCATTCATTATCATGAAAGACAGATATATACCATTTTTTTTATTCAATTGTCCTTATTTTATAAACAATTGCACCTCTTTTTACTTACTGTACTCAAACAAAATTCCCTATGGCTTTTCCTTTCTTAGGCTGCATTAATTCAATTCTCAAATTTTTAAGATTCATAAATCATTGCTGTGGTAAAGTAAGTCGTTTTTACAGTCAGTTGGTCAGCATTCTTTACTCAGCCAGGAATCATCTTTCTCTTTACCTCTGGACATTCTAGTGCAAAAATTACAACATGATCACTAATTTTTTGTGTGCTCTAACAACTCTTACAATTGTCATTAACTTTGACTTGGGTTTCAACTCATCTTTTTTTAATAATATAATGAAAAAATGTTTAAGCTGCTTTGAAAAATGTATGGGTCCAATGTCTGGTGATTTCACAATCATGATGTATTGTATTGGTTTACTTCTGCTAAGACAAAGGTTTTTCTTCCGATAGACCTATTAGATTTAGTAGAGTAAGAATCTGCTAAGCAAAAATACAGCAAACAAAGAATCCCCCCAAAACCCCAAATATTCCCTCCTGCTCCAAATCAAAAAGCTTAGTATTGGAAAAAAATACTTCAATTGAGAGGTTTCTCGATCATGTGAATTTTTCATATAGGAGAGTTAGGCTTTTAAGCAGTCCACTTTCTAATCTTTCTAATTTTCAAAATTTTGATCTTTTGCAAATAGATGCACCCAATCTCATTTTCATTAAATATGAATTATAGGCATAGATGATAGACACACGTCAGAAAAAAAACAAACAAACAAAGAAAACAACAAACCACAAGAAAACACTAGCCAGGAAGCCTCCCATGTAAAGTATCATGTTTGATTTTATCATTCAGTTCCATTTCAATAATCTTCCTTTTCACTTCATTTGTTACATTAAGAACAATCAACCTGATGCTAGTGCAGTGTTTTTTAAAACCAGACAGTTAATAGTTCCACATTCTTCAATCACTGTTGTTTTATAACTGATGGGTAATCTATTTAAATAAACTCTTATCTCAGTTTATCCCTTATATTAAAACCAAACAGCCAGCATAACTGCATTGGTTTAACTTCCATTAAGAATTCTTCATTGAATGAACCAGATCTGATCTTTTCTTTCAAGAAGAAATTTAAAAAAAACCCCAAAATTGTTGGGTTTTTGGTTTTTGTTTTTTTTTTTTTCCTTCATGAAGACTGATACCCTTTCCCTTCTGGAACAGAAAGTATTATCCAATAATTATTTTTACAGTTAAAATGTGACAGTATTTAGAATGCTACTATAATATGATTAATACACATTTCCTGTCTGTTGTACTTTTAAACTTTTTCCTTACTGAGATCACTAATACAGTGACTAAAAATATTCAGGAACACTGAAATGTTCTTATGTTAGTAGTGGATCATTAATGAGATAATGATAGATTAAGTCCTAACGCTAAACCCCAAGTAATAAATGATATTTATAGTCATGTTGATCTTAACATTAACATTGACTGGCAGGCATAGTGCCCTGAATGCTCCAAGAGTTAAATATCTTGTTAGAAGTTTTTGCAATGTCCAGTCTGCTTCCTTTTTTTGCTTTGGCTCTACTTTGGTAGCTACCTGCTATGTGGTAAAGACTGCTATGTAGTAGAGAGTCAGGGCCAACCATCTCTTCCTTCTGGTAACTGAGAGCTAATCCATAATTTAGGGGTCCAGACCCTGCATTCACCACAGCGAACTTGATTGTTTTATTCTCTGTATGATTCCTCAATGGGAACACAGTGCCTTGTTATATCATATTTCCTATCGTGGCAAGACTTGGCAACTGTTGATATAATCCTCAAGATAATGATGACTATCAACTGTTTCAAGAGTGGGGGGAGGTGTTAATCACATTCCACTGTTATCAGACTTTATGATTTAATAAGCCATTTCCTCATGTCTGTTCTCAGATTTTCACTCCATCGACTCTCATATGTTGCCTCAACAGAACGGTGAGAAGGGGTATCAGGGAGCATCTCACTCCTTTGCTGTTCAGGCCCCAGCACAAAGGCCAAACCTTTAGGGATGCTCTAAATTCTGCAAGCTATAGGTATAGTGCCATACATACATAGGTGTGTATGGCACATAAATGTTATCCTCCTGTTGGAGCTTTGTGGAGTTAGAGTGCATGAAAAAGCTGTGGAGTCTCTCGCTATCCTTGGGGATGTTTTGGAAGAAAATAAAAAGAAACTGTGTGAGTTGGCTCTACTGCCTTTACACCTTGCAGTGATTCTATCCTACCACTAAATGGGTGACTCTTTGGAGGTCTGAGACCTCAGGCACGTCCCTGTCTAACCTCAGTAACCTGCTGAGATCTCAGCTCTTTCCACCCTTGTATTCATCTGACATAAAGGATCCCTTTATCTGTGGAAATAGGGTGTGAAATGCTGCCAAAGTGAAAAACAGGTCATTAAGCACTAGTTCTAATGATTGAATTTGCTCCTGATGGTTATACAGCAACAGTATCATATTTTGAGGAAAACCAACTGACCAAGCAGACAAAAAGGATTAAAGATCCCTGTCACTAGCCATTTCTTAAAATGTATCATGTTTCTCTACTAATTCCTTTTTGCCGTAGGAGATGATTCTCCTAAGCAGAGAATTTCATCACTAGTTTGTAGAAATTTTATTTCTCAGGACTTCCCAGCACTATGCTATGACTGAGTTTATGTTAGTTTTAGACAAAATTCTGCTCTGTCATTTTGACAGAAAAAGGTTAACCCAGCTAGTCTAAAACAATTAACTAGATGAAAATATTAGATGGTTTTATGTCTGCAGGCAAAGCAAAATCTTCACAGGCACAAGTATGAGTGCTGACTCCTGATTTTGTCTTTCTAAATTTGTGACATAGAAAAGAAAGCTGCCTGATGGCATTTCAGGTCTTCCAATGACAGATTGAACACAATGCAAAAGTGTCTGGCATGACTAATGAGAAAATTCAGTGCAGTTGCATATGATTAATTACATCTGTTCAAATTTGTGCAGAAATTATTTTGAAATGAGGCAGTCCTTAGGCCCTAAATTGAAACGTGTCTCCACGTTATGAAGAATATTATGATATCTGATTCACTGTTTTTACATCTATCAATGTTCTGTAACTTAATAAAAATGGTCAGTATTTAGTCACAAGTGATAACTAGCAGGACACACTTCTTATTGTAAAAGCCCTTTTGAAATATCTTATATGTAAGAATCTAACAAAACAAAAAAAATCACCCTAGTTATCATTGTTTGACTGTGATGTGGTAGAACATAGGCATTCATGTAAAGATGAAGGCTCCAATATGAAGGCCATAGCACATGTACACTCATTATATATACAATCATTATAGATATGTTTATATATTACTGCAACGCCTTGAAAAGTCATGAATAGAGACCCCTTTATGTTAAGAGTGCAACAGAACCATGTTTGGTTCAAACAAGCTGATGAAAGAGAAGAAAAGGATACTTTGGGAAATTAATTACCACAAGTTGGTGTTGTAACATGACATTGACTTAGGATAAATATATTTTAATAGTTATATGATTATATTAATACAAACATGGCAATTCCTTCAAATATTTTACAGCCTTCTGCCCCAGACTTGCAGATATTCTTATGCTTAAGGCCACAGACTTAACTAATTTTGCTGACTTATTGTAGATGACACAAGATGGATCGAAGAAATGCAAGAAGACCTTGTAATTGTTTGTGTGCTCTAATGTCAGATCTTATTCCTAACAGTAGTGAACATCAAAGTATTTTAACTAATTGTCATGTTTTTGTTGATTTTCTTTTTTCCCTGCTATGTACATAAGAAAAAATGTAAAGGTTCTTGAGGGGAAAAAAAAAAAAAAATAATGGGCAGTAAATACTACATGAAGAAGCAGCTCGTGGGAGAATTATTTATGCACTGTCAAAACTGTAGTAGCAAAAAAAAAAGAATGTTTCTAGATGTTTTTATTTTGTTTTTTACAGCTTTCCCACCTACTTAATTCCTGATACTGGATTAAAATCAATGAATTGTTGAGTCTTCATGAATAAATCTAGAATATCCCACATTGCAGAATTTATGAGTCAACCTGGACCTAGGTGTTAGTGAATGCACACCTATAAAATGAAGATTTCAGATTATTAGTTTTGGTAACAGAAAGGTTTAGCTTCAGTTTATTCTGGATTAGCAAAGCAAAAGGATGTTGACGGAGCTGTCCTTTTAGACTTTCTTTTCACAGAGTTCATTACTGTGCTCTGGGAAGGCTGTGGGAAGACATACCAAGTTTGATGTTATCTTTCTAGCTGATGCATGTAGCCTGTATCAATCAGGTACCTAATAGTCATTAATCCTAATGTCTCATTAATGAAGGTGGAAAAAAAAAAAGCTTACTTTTGATTCAAATCATGCCTATTTAATCTTAAAAAAAATAAATTAAAAATATTTGGGATCCTAATCTGCATATTGTTTACTAACTCTACCCAGCAGCTGAAACATGAGCCAAGTATATTCCATGCAAAACTGGGAGCTGTGCACACTCTGGTGTGGATGTAGGTTGGGTGATGCTCTGGAGGGCATGACGTCATCCAGAGAAGTTGCTGCATCTCCTGAGGGCCCAAAGTCCATATACTTCATAAACTGATGTAAACTTAGGGTGCTGCGCAGATTAGGTACTGCTTTTGCCACATGCACTTGAGAGGCAATAATATTTTAGGTAACGAATTTAAGAAGTAGTATTAGAAGTCTTAGTACAATCTTTTTTGGACTCCTGCTTCGTACAGAGCAGTAAAATGTGCCTCAGCTCCTGAGCACACATTTAAATCTGAAGAACAAATTTGAGTCTTCGCTCACTCCTCTGCTTCCTTGTTCTGCCAAATATCTGCTATATGTTATCGCTCTTCCAGGCTTAATTATTAAGTTGGTTTCATCTTCTACATAGTTGAGTTAGGCCTACTGTTTGGCTGTTAGCAGAAACTGAAAATCATCATATGCTTGAAGATGTTTATTTTGTGGTTTCATATTGGAATCAAATGAACATTGGTTTTGACAATTATATTTCTCTTCTAGAGCAGAGAAGAATCAATTTTTGCACAAATACAAATTTTTAAATTAGATCTGAAAGAAGACTGCCTGAAAAAAAAGACAAAATGGAAGCTCTTCCAGTATTTCAAGTTTGTTTGGTTTAAATCAGAAATAGTAAATATATATATACACAGCAAATGTAAACACTTTTTTTTTTTTTAACCATTAGTCTAAACACAATATGCAGCTACGTAACTGAGTGAAGAGTGGGCAAAAACTCATAGAGCTTTAGAAGATAGTTTCCTTTCATTGAAGCAAGAGAACTGCGTGATAGAAGTCAACTGCTAACAAGTTGTTTCCTTTCCCTGTTCTCCTAGGTTTCCCTTGTCCACCTCCTAAAGACAGTGCGGTTGCTACGCCTCTTGCGTCTCCTTCAGAAGTTGGATCGTTACTCCCAGCACAGCACAATTGTTCTCACGCTTCTCATGTCCATGTTTGCCTTGCTTGCTCACTGGATGGCCTGCATTTGGTATGTCATAGGGAAAAGGGAGATGGAACAGAATAACCCTCTTACCTGGGACATAGGTAAGTTCTTCTTTCCACTGTATGCATATATATATACACACATATATATATGCATGTATGTAAATATATAAACCTGCATGTATAAGTTACTCAATAATTCCTTTTTTGTTTAATCTTATACAAGTATTTAGTGCTGTTAGTAGAGAAAATGAAGAGATTGGTGCTCAGACTTTCAGGTCAATCTAACAAAAAGGGTTAAAATTAAAAGAAAACTGGAAAAGTAAAAAGTGAGATTTTTAAGAGTGATTTAATGTTTGGGGAATTGAGGATCTGGATAGGAAAGGGCTAGATAGACTGTGTAGAAAAGCAGATGAGAAAGTTTCATCCTGTTTTTGCAAATTAGGTAAAGTCTTCAACAGAGGCATTCTGTTGAGTGTGCTGATTATTCCTTACTATACATTGAAAAAGATAGACCTTGACATGCCTTCAAGTTAAAAACTCCCTTCGGAAACGTTGTCTAGCTGGTTTGCATGCTTTGCTCTTTTGCACAGCAGACGAGGTACTTATCAATGGAGAGATGGTTTCAGAATCCTCAGTTTTGATCCAATGTTTAGTTTCCACCGCAGCCTTCATTCTGATTTCATTATGTGTTCCAGATTGACTCTTTAGATTTTAAAGTTTTCCCTTTTTGTTTAAGGTTTTTTATTATTTCTAAGACTTGTACCCATATGTGATGGTAAAGTGAGAAAACAGTATACCTTGGAGGGGAGCCTGGCATCACCAAGTACTTGTACACTATTGAAGGTGTGTTACCTTCTAGTGCAACAGCTGATACTCCACATCTTCCCACATCAGTCATTCTGACCTTACTGTAGAGGTGCATTTCTTTTGCTGTCTTTCTCAGATGCCATATGAATATCAAGCATCCCTTTTTCTCTCTTTTCTTTCTGGTTCCTCGTGTTCTGTATTTTTAATTCTACTTGTATTTACTTTTAGCCTAAATTTCTTATGTATTCACCGAAGCAGAAGAGGAAACAAGATCATAAAATTAACTGGAAGAGGGAAGCCCTGCTAGTTTTCTTTATGCTCTTAAATACTACAGACATGATTAAAAAACATATGAATAGTTTAGAATATGTAAATTATCTGTGAGATGAAAATAATGCACATGCATCTCTTTCATAAAAAAAGACCATCTAATGGTGAGACAGCATTTCCCAACAGAAAAAATACTTGGTGGGGGCAATGATAAAATATCTTTATGATCAAAGTCTCAGTGATGTGCATTCAAACTGCAGTATGCCCTATTCTTATCTCCTTTAATGTCTTTCTTCTCTCTTAACCCCATTATCGTCTATTTAAATATCTAATAAAGATAAATGTGAAGGAAAAATGACAAGTATGTTAAAAGTGCCTGACCTTAGATGAGGTGAGGTTGCTGTGTGAAGAAGAGGAAAAAAAAAGAAAGTAAGTTCAACAAATGCATCTCTCCAGTTTGTCTATAGGTTACTGAAAGCTTTGTGGAGTCTTTTTATTCTTCTAGTTGATTGTTTATTTCTCCTTCCCTTTGTAAACCGAGTCTGTGACCTGCTGCTGAACTCCTCATAAAGTGCAAACCTCTCAAAGAAAAAAATGCAGCTGTAGGGGAGAATGTACAAAGAAAGCCCACTGTGCACAAATTGGTCAAATACTGCTAACAGAAAAACAAATCCTAATAATAACAATAATAATAATAACAGTAATAAAAAGAAGAGTCTCTATGGCAGGAAGTAACTATGAAGACACATTGTCAACTTACGTAGGCCACAAACAATAGCTGATTTCAAAGCATTCATTGCAGACCCGATGATGAGGATGTGCTGCATCCTTGCTCCCCAGGTGGGGCTGCTGGCCAGCTCCCCATGCAGCCTGTCCTTCTACCTTTTCCTTGAGCCCAGGCCGCATTCAGGAAATTCTCCTCATATGTCCTGAGGCTCTTGGCATCTATTGCTGTGAAAGCATTAACTTTCACCTCTCAGTTTTGTCCTCTCTTGGGCAATAGCAGTAATAAACAAATGTCCCAACAACCTAATTAGGACAAATCCCAGTTTTTCAGGAACAGAGCCATTTCACAGAAGTACCATTTGCATCTCAGTGAAGAGCGTTGATTCTGAGTTATCACACACTGATCATCTTCTAGCAGCCTTCCTAGGCAGGAACTGCTCCTTAACAGCCCCTCACCACAGGCTTGTCTCAACATGAGACTTGGTGACCTTCCCTGGACAGCTGCAGGCAACGCACCTCCCCATTGGGTGGGCCAAGACGCTTCTTAGTGGTGTGTGCTCTTAGACTTAAGACTCCTACCTGGCAAAAGGGCTTTGCTGTTGAGCTTACAGCACGATTTTATTTTATTTTTTTTCCCAAAGGAGTGTTTTTGCATTTTTGCCTGGAAAGCTGTTCTACCACCTTCATGGATAGTTTCTAAAAAATTTAGATGCAATAAATGTGTAATAAAAATTATAGTGCAATGACTCCTGCGAAGCTCCTACAGATATTAGTTCTGTATCTGTCAGAATGGTTATTTCTAAAGTTCTCTCTAGTACTAAGTTAAATATTTTATGGCTTTGGGGATTTTGTGCGTGTGTGTTTGTAAAGGAAAGGGTTTTAAAATGTTAAAGTACTGGAAATTGGTTTTAACAAAAAGAGTTCAGAAAACTCCAGATGCCTGGCATGAAGCCATTATTTTGTATAGACCACTTCAGCACTGATAAAATTTCTGCTTAAGATTACGTGTCTGTTGTGGTTTTAGGCTGATCCAGCAAC